GCTGCCGGCTTGTCTGTGAGATTTCGCTTTTGGCTGCCGCTGCCGCCGTGGTTCCCAAGCTTGCCTCTGTTACTGATTTCGCTCTGTGCTGCTGCTGCCGCCTTGTGATTCTCTTGCCTGTCTTTGACGCGGATGCTGTTATAAAATGATTTAGGTCTTGTTTACCTTTTCCATCTTTTTCCCGGCGTTGAGTGGGATGTCTCGCAAGCTTGTCTCCCGCTCTTGCCATGCTATCCAACTTTTCTTGAAGTGCTATCTGGGGTCTATGCCGGTATAATCCTGTTTGTTTTTGCTAGTATTCAATATCTTCATCTCCTCATCTTCCGGATCCTCACCACCACCTCTCAACTGCCCCATCCTGCTCACCAATCCTTTTGATGGCTTCTCGTGGCACAGAATCCCATCAACCATCATCCATCATCAGGTCCAGGTCCTCATCTCATCATCCATCATCAGGTCATCACCTTTATTAGGGGGATGTCCTCCTCAATACCTCAAATCTCAAACCTTGTTGACCGTTGACCTTGTTGACCTTGAAGGGGGGGGGCCGGTTGATTAATCCTACGTCGACATTATGTCTCCCAAATGCTCCAACTGTGCAGTTCCCAGATTTCCATTCCAAGAAGCATCCAGAAACCCTTCCGAAAAAAAAAAAAAAAAAAACACACACACACACACTCAACAAAGATCAACTCGTGAAGTCAGGATCTTCGGTGCCGATCTCCACCGCCTGTGGGGCGGATGATCTCCACTGCAGCATCAGCGCTGCCCCAAACACCTGAGCCGAAGGAAGCGGCACCCCACGTGGTGCAGCGTGGGGGGCGCAGGTGGGATTCTCTCAAGAAGTGATCCTACTATCGGGTTTCTTGGGTGGCAACTTCCTTGTAAACACCTAGAAACGAATATGTCCTTCATAAACCTGCATGGTAAAGGATTCCTTCTCAGCTTCATCTGGTGCAAACTGCCACACTTAAAACACCTTTTGGAGCACATCTCTCTGTCCAACCCCTGGGATCAGCGGCCTGCAAACGTGGGAACAGACGTTTGGTATCCTCTCCTGTTCAGGAAGCCGCCAATCTGAACATGGGCCCTCTGAAGGAGTATACAAGTATACATCTGGATCGAAACACCGTTTTCAAAATAGTTTTCAATACATCCTCTCCATGTCGCTCAGAAACTAAAAACTGGTGGCCCAGAACCCTGGGGGTATGTTCAAAGAACTGGATCTCAAAACCTGAAGTCCATCCAAGGAGTCCGTAACTACTACTATAGCTCTTACCTGGTTTTACACCGCAATCCTCCAATGCTTGGCGATACAAATCCATGCATATCACCCATGAGCCCTGGAAGCATCGGTGCTTGAATTCGCCTTCGCAGCAACTGGTGCTTCGTGCCATGTTCCTCAGAGAAAAAAACACACTTGAGCTGTGTCAAAAAAAACAGGTTGCGACCGGGTTTTTACTTTTGCAGGGCTTTCTAGAAGCCTTCGCCCTCGTGGGTGTTTACTTTTGCAGGCGATTTCACTCACGAACAGCATCTAAATTGCTTTATCACATATTGCTCATCAATGCTCACTTGCAAATCAAGCAAAAGTACCTGATGTACCTCAAAAGTGCACGTAAACCTTGTTGTGAACAAGAACAAATCCAAACTCCGCCACTCCGCCACCCTGCACGAAAATAGCAATTGCCTCCTAGAATTCTAGAATGCAAAGCAACAATGAAACTACTTGGTCCTTTTGGGTGCAGCGAAAAGGAGGGCCCGGAAGCTGTCGGACTACCACTCTCCAGAAGCTGTCGAATGCAAAGAATCCTGCATCTATAGGGCTGGGTTGCCATCTCTCTGAAACAAACAAACAGCAGCATCTCGCAGCCATTGGCTGAAGCTCTTTCTTCTGCCCCTTTATTGCCCTTGTCCGAGGTTCTTGAGGTCTTGAGGTTTTTTTGGGTGTACATCAGTCCCTTGGACGAAAAAAACCAAGGGGCCAAACTAGCTCGGAAACACACCATCTTCAAACAAGGCTGCATGTTCCGGATTCTACACTTGAACAACCAGAAATAGAACACCCAGCGACAACAGGCGACACCAGCCCACCACCGTGAAATGGTTGGGTTGTGGACTCCCACCGATTCTGTCCAGAGTGTGGATCTCCTAGCGGCTCCTAGCCCGTGAAGGTGAGTTTATGTTTTTTTTTAATAGTGGCATGGCCGAGACATCAGATTCATGCCAAGTGTCGAAGCCTCCTCTGCTTGCCCGGGGCAATTCCGCAGACAACTTGTCTCGAGCAAGGAGAGGTTCGGCGGAGATTGACGATGAAACCACGAAACCAGGTGCCACGAAACCAGGGTGACGAACCCTCCAAAAGCTTGATTGGGGGCAGATTTGATCTTCAGGCCCGCCAGGGTGTCGAAGTATGGTCGTGCACACGAAAAACCTGAGAACAAAAGCTGGATTAACTCGACCAAAGATCTTTGTGAGGTTCTAGAGGTGGATGATTGCATGGTCAAGAGGTGGCAAGGCACATCTGGTCCCCAAAACAAGACCTGAAAAGAGAGTTCAAAAGTGTGATCTGGTTGAAAATCATACCGTACCCATCCGCACCCAGTCTCTTCTTGAGAACAAAGGAATCAAAAGACTCCGTCTCCTGGCTACTTTCTCGACAGTCATCTCCAAGAACCACCGGCTGATTGGAGGATTTGACTCTGGTCCGGAAGGCTTGCAGCTCCGTCCCAAAGTGGGGTCGTCGTCCCTAGGGTCCGCAACATTCCAGGGGTTGCGCCCACCGAAAACTAACCATGGACCCTGAGAATGGGACCCGGACAAGACTGTTTCCTCTACAGACCAGTGGTTTTCAGGGTCCATGTTGGTTTTCCAGGGATTACAGTATATACATGAGACTGGGTCTTCAGATCTTCGGCAAATCCATGCAGTTTGGCACCGGTGCATCCAGGGCATGTCAATCAGGAAGGCTGCCACATCATCCACGAAGGTGCTCATTGCCTCTGAAGTTTCATCCCAGTGGATGTCAAGTACTGTATGTGAGTTCAATACAGTACCATGCTGAGTTGAACAAATGCACTCTTCGTTTTGCTTCTAGAACATGGAAAACACCGAAAATATCTTGCCCTGTTAGACTTCCGCATCAACTTGCTTGAATTGAATGCGCAACCGGTTTGCATAAGTAGGTCAAAACATGTCAAAAATAACAGCGACCAAAGAACCTTGAATCTTCCAAACATCTAGTCTCGTTAAACAAAGGCAATCACTCTGGCAATCACTTGCGTCTACACCCACAACGGACCAAGGTCTCTCCTCAGGCTGATTTCATCTGCACGGACCCAACGGCCTTGTAGGTCAGTGCACGCCACCTCAGTTTTCATGCGACAAAATCCTTCGCAAATTGCAGTGCTGCAGCAGGCTTCTCCAGAAGTTGTGTTGTTCTTTTTGTTATGTGCGATATGCTACGGGATACAACTAGCATTTCTGACATCAAACAAAATAAGTCCTAATGAACTAACAATAACATGTTCTTTCACCGAACAATTATCATGTTCATCATTGTTCATCAGTAATGCTTGGAATCTTTTGTTGCAATCTGTGAGGAACAAGCCTCCAGCCCCCCGCTTTTAGAGAATGAGAGGCAGGTTGGCACCAAGAGCACGACTACTGGGACACTTCGGTCTGCCTTGATCTGTCTGTCCAGACTTATGGGCATTGAATGTCATCGGGGGTGTGAAGAATTCATCTGCTGCATATGAGTGGATCAGACTCTTTCCATCTGAAGTCCAGCGGTTGTCAGTCGTAAGCCTACCGTTGAGATGAACCAACTGCCGCATCTGTACCGATCCACTTGCCTGTAAACGCTTTCTCTATACTCTACGAACGCAATGAATGGGTCACGTCTCAGCCGGCACCGAACGTGATTTGCCGACGCATCTACATCTGAGAGAAGCCGACGGCATATGCTCCACTGACTGCAGCTTGTAGTTGATGTACAACTGGCGGCCATTGGCACTTGCTTTTCTTCGTTTGAACGACCCGTGAGCTATCAATCGACAGCGATCAAATGACCACCTCGGAAGCACAAAACGTGAGGCCATCATCTGACATATGTTGATCATGAGTCATATATTAATTCATACAGAAAAAACACACAATTCCTGATCTGAACGATTCTGCTCAAGAAAAGAACCCCCAAAAAAGTCCATGGTTTTTCTCTTCAGAAGCAACATCCTCTCTTTTGTAGCTGGAACCTACATGGACCTCCTTAACTTCAGCTTGGTTCCACGTCCACGTTCACCCCCGACTTGTGTCGAAAACTGCCAAACCATCTCACTGATCATAGAGGTCTTACTGGTCCTCACTAGGGTATCCATTGTACATGAACTAGCGACGGTCGCGGCAAACTCTTCAGCAGTTGGTTATACAGTAGTTGGTTTGGTAAAGCCATTTCACATCGGATATCACAAGTGTCAAGCTACTGATCCCACCGAGATGATGTTCCTTTTTTGCAGTTGCTGTGGTCAAGTCATCCTTACCCCAACAAACATGATGAGGCGACATGAGGGTGTTTGTTGGTTTTCCTTTGTGGCGCCTGCGGCGTCATCATCACAAAGCCTCGGTGTGTGATGTTTCGGAGGAATCCGAATGTGGGCGGCATGCAGCTCCGGGGTTCCAAAGCACTAAAAAATGATTTCGGTACAAAGGCAGGTAGAGCACTGGAAACATGTTGAAACATCTTTGAAACAACCAAAAGAAAAAACAAATGCGTCACATGTTGACATGTGTGGCTGCTTTTCCAAGCAAGAGGGATTCGAGGGGGTCATGGCTCCTAAAGGTCCTAAAGGAAGACATGAATGCCATAGGTCTACTGGTTCAGAAAGCCCAGCTTTCTGAAGCCAAGTTCGGACCGCACATAGAATTCCAAAGTTATATATTGAATTAGATTGATGCTTTTACAACATGAGACAACTAAACAGTTGCACCATTGTGGCCGAGACTAACGGGATCGTTGTCGGAGACCTTGTTTCTTGGACCTGTTTTAGTTTTCCTTGAGGTCCTGATGCATGGGCATTGAAATATGCAGGTGCTTGCAGAAAATAGACACCAACAGGTGCGACTCCATGGATTGTCCGTATGTTGAGCCACTCCCAAAGGATGAGGATTGAAGAATCTGCAAATCTTCTCCACATGACACACTTCCACCAACCCCACTGGCGGAGCCAGGGCACCAAAAGTGTAGACACCCCCAGCCGCTGTGCTCACAAAGAAGCTGTACCAGCCACGGTGCTGACGCAGGGGCTTCAGGGATGAAGGCATCATGGGGCGCAGGGATGATGGCATGGTGACCACTAGGTGACAAGTGCAGCCTCGAAAGCCTGTGTTCCTTCCTTCGTGAAGATGGGTTTGGCTGTGCATGGCAGTACAGCCGCTGGTTCCCCAGAATGTTTCCTTGCGGTCTCTTCGGCCCCTGCGGTCTCAGTGGCAGGTACCTATTCTTCCAAGCCACTGAGTGGCACCGAGTGACGACCGTTGGGCAGCTCTTAAAATGGAAGTGTGAGGGTATAAGGCATCGAGGCATAGCAAAAGAGCGGAGATTGTGACCGTAGGGCACCCAGAGAGTTCAGATCACTTGCTGAAGGAGTGCTGGAGCGGCTGTCCCTATCTCGTTCAGGTGAGGTTCCTGGACACTTGTCATCAGCACTTTGAGGAGAGCATTCTCTTTTTCAGGGGAGGGCATAGGATCATACAATTCAACATGTCAAACCAAGGTGTCGGGTTGCGCGAGCTCCCACCCCGCGAGCTCGGCGCACGCACCGTCGTCCTTTTGGGGCGATCGACAGGGACCGCTAGGGCAGGGCCGGGATCGGCATGCGAGCTTTTGCGGCCCGGCCCTGGCCGGCAGCATGGCCATACAGTGAGGTCCAAGTGCGCCCTAAGAATGCATGGAGAACAAGGCTGTGGAAAGATGTGGCTCATGAGCTGAATCACTAAGTGGTGCTGGGAGTGAATCACCTTACTTTCCAGTGCCCTGATGTGCGAATGCACCGCAGAAAGAAAGCAGGTGCTTTGATGAGAAGCAATGAAACAGAACGATTTCATCACTTCAATCGATTCTTCAACACTTTTGCGTCGCCCTCAAAAAAGCATAAACACATATTTGGGTCGGTATATCCTATTACCCGTAGCAATGGAGGATGATTCAGTTGTGATATTTGTTTACCGACTCTTACAGGCCCTTTTCTTCGTCCGAAACTCGGTCAAAGGCATCGGGCCAGACATGGTCAGACTATATCTCACTCAGAATGTAAATCGGACATGGGGTTTCAGAGCAGGGCACAGTTGTCTTGGGTTGCAGGTGTAACTTAAAAGGAACAAACCCAATGGTCTGAGTGCCAGCCAGTTGGTTCTTCAAGTTGATGAGCCTCTCTCACGGCTGGAACGGAATATATGTATCACACAAGTAATAGAGAGTACGGAGTGGAATACCCTGTTCATTGCGAATGAGGCAAGGTAGGATGAGCCCGAACAGAGGCAGCTAGAGAAGTCTGGTCGGTTCCTCAGGCTGAGACAGTTTGAGGTGAATCCATCAGTTGCAGATGTTGTAGGGACATAGTTAGGGACATATTAGTGAGAGGGGAGAACACAGAAAGAGATGGAATTGAATGGTGTCCCTGGTCTCAAAAAGGACTGTCATGTTCGAAGTGCGTTTCGTTACATGATTCTTATTATGTGTTGGGTCTGTCCCAGGAAACCTCACGAGTTCCGTGCGGTGAGCCGCATCAGATGCTGCGCAGGTGGCAGTGTCCCTTCAGGAGCTCATGCCTGGCACCGTTGAACCGGATCGAAGAGGCAGCAACTGCGGACGTCCGTTCGACCGGAACCTCAAACGTGTACTATCCGCAGTCGACCAAGGGATTTACTCGCATGAGGGACCAAGGGATTTACTTGAAACTTCTCTACTCATTTGCATGTGAGTCCTAGCTTTCTGTCCATGTCCAATATTAACGAACGCCCGTTCTTTGGAAGACTCCATGAAGTTGGAGTTTTCACCCTCTGTGCTGGCCGCCGGCGGGCCTGGTACCTAGTTCAGCACCTCGCCCGTCCCCACGACCGGCCTGGCAGGCGGAACAAAGCGACCGGGCATGTGGATCTCAAACGTCGGGATGAAAAGAATACCCTGTTGAATCCCACTTGAAACATCCCTGATATAAAAAAGGATCCGATCCTGAAATTCTGCCATATTTCAGCCCACATAATACAGATCAGTTGGATGTTGCTATTCTATACCTGGTTTACCAAAAAGCCCTGAGCCTCGTTGTCCCCTTCTTTGCCCCGCCAAGAAATGCAAAAGGATGCTGGCACTGGGACCATCCTTCTGTCGTTGATATACTTACTAGGTCGCTAGATGTGACTAGTGACTAGTGGCTACAGCTCCTTCCAAGCCAAAGGAGTCGAGAAGCCTTGCACAGTGCCGTGCGGCTTGGAGAAGTATGTTTTAGTCCAAACCCATCTCTGCCCGCCAAAGTCCCTGCAAGAATGCGATATCAAACAATCTGGTGTCCTCTGACTTAAGCTCGGCCCGATCCAATGAAGCGGTATTTCTGGAAAGAACTATCTTTGATACTCATTGGTGTCTTGTTGATCAATGAAACCATCGGCCTTCTTCCCTGAACTTTCGGCCCTCCTTCTAAACTCTTTGTTGGATATACACTCATTGAGTAAACGTTGGTGAGCTCACAAAGGAAAGGGACCAAAAATCATCAAGATGCACAACATATGACAGGATGAACTAGAGATGGTAAACATACCCGTCGTTATAGAACAAAGGCTGGAGGAGGTGCATTTTCCATGTCCATGGAGGGTAGGCTCACAAGGAACAGTTGAGGA